CAGCAATCGGAATTAAGAGTATTTGTGGTATTAGTGATACAATCTGGGAAAGGAGCTGTTATCCTTCATGTTTGGATGTAATTATACATTAACTTTTTAATGCAAAAATGCCATCCTCAAAAAATAATACCATCCTATTAAGAAGAAAAAAAACTTAGCCGTATCTATGTACACATGGATTTTTCAAATATAGTCACATTATAGTCAGTGGCGCAGTGGGTAGCACTGCTGCATTGCAGAAGGAGTTCCTGGGTTTGATGCCTTGCCTGGGGTCTTTCTGCATGGAGTTTGCATGTTCTCCCTGTGGGTTCTCTCCGGATACTCCGGCTTCCTCTCACAGCCCAAACACATGACTGTTAGGTTAATTAGCTTCTCTTAATTATCATAAGGTGTGAGTGTGTGTGCATGGTTGTGTGTCTCTGTGCTGCCCTGCTACAGACTGGCGAATTGACCAGCCTCTCGCCCATAGACTGCCAGAAATAGGCACCGGGCCAACTGTGAACTTGACAAGGACTAAGCAGGAGAAGATAGATGGATAGGTCAGTGGCGTGCACAGACTTTTTGAACAGCAGGGGGAAAAAGAAAGGCAAGGACAAATATAGCGCGTTCTAACCCGTGTAGAGGGAACTTAAACATGCATTTGGACTCTAGAGGCGAAACTTCAACACACATTTTTCAGCAATTTGGCCAAAAGGAGGGGTGGCCACCCCCACCCTCTCCCTGTGGACATCACTGCATTAGGTTTCACTTTGACTTTAATAAAGGACAGATTATTTTTATGCTGGCCCTGAGAACTTACTTTTCATTTATGTATACATGTATTGTAATGACAGTAAAATGTGCTGCTTCCTGTATTGGCTGCTTCAGCCTGCATATGAGAATGATCAAGATTTATAGATTTCTTTCAATTACTGTGATTCTATTTGAATATAAAAATCTAACTGAGCTGTCTTAATATTGACTGGGTGTTTAATACAGGCAGGCTCCTCAATGTTTCCCTTCAGCTGTCCACAATCCTATACAAACAACTGCAGACCAGTTTTACTGTATAGCGATCATTATGTAGACAAAAATGTGTTTCAATTTTTATAAATATAACAAAGTTTATTTTATTTTATGGAATGGTAAAGAGAGAAAATCCCACAGACCCTGTAATAATGCTAGGCTAGTTGTAGCCAGCAGATAGCTAGCTTATTTTGCTCAACAGGACTCTGTAATGATGCTAGGCTCATTGTAGCCAGCAAATATCTAGCTTATTTTGCTCAACAGGGCTCTGTAATGATGCTAGTCTAGTTGTAGCCAGCAAATAGCTAGCTTATTTTGCTTTTTTTCCCCCTTAATGTTGCTTATTTACACATTTTCTTGTTGATTTTTTGTTTTATTCCTTGTCACTTTCTCAAGAGACACGCCTGTTTCACTAAAGCGCCTGAACAAGCAAACTGTTGGTGATAGACGGGGACCTGATGCGCCAAAGAGCGGCCATTACTTGTAATTACATAGAGTGGGTTATTCTTCTGCCCTTTACTGCTGAGACATCTATGAGAACATAAATAACATTTATTTTAGTGCTGGATTTCTTTATAGTAACACTCCCCCCCCCCATCAGTCATTTATAGCCTTGTTTGTGTTTTAGTCTCATGCCTTGATGCTCCTGGGAGAATCGAGGAATGTAACGTGTCCCCTACTGCTCCCATGAAATTCCACATCCCTTTGAAACAACGACCAGAACAGGACTGATGGTTTTGATGCAGCTAAATGCTATGAAAAACAATTTCTGCATAAATTTAAACCAACCCAGGATATCATGGGGTGGAACATTTAACCATCACTGGCTCCAGGATGTGGTCTGAAGAGATGGGGCTTGTTTTTCCAGATATTTGCAGGCTTTCACAGCAGGAGACAAATAATCAGGTTCAGGCGTCTCCTCTAATATCACAATTTCATGTCTTCATGTATATCTTTAGCTGCGCTGAGCAGTGTCTCCTCTGAGGAGCCTGCTGGACCTCCCATTCCCCTCTGGACTTCATTAGTGTGCTTATCTCCAATCTGCAGTCATTCCCATCTCCTCACCGAGCCGCTCCGAGCTATTGCAGAATAATGGTTACAGTTCTGCTCGGCTTGTGATGTTGCAACGCAGCAGCTGAAACCTCCATATATGGAGCTGCTTTCAGCCTTTTTGACAGCAATTCACAGTAAGAGCACGCTGCCCTAAGGTAAACTCTCACTTAAAGACAAACTTGGTTGTGGAGAATTGCCAAATATGTAGCCCTGTTTCCGAGCTCCACATTAATCTGTAGAATTTTGGTTAAAATGATGATGCAGCTGCAGCTTTTTATTAGTGGTAAACAATCTTGGTGGCCCAAATATCTTCAGAAGATCATCACAAATCTCTGTCCTGTTTATGTTTGATGCCTTGCAGGTGGAGCCAAACCAAATCTCCATGTATTATCTGCAACTAAATTTGTTTGGAACAGGTTTATTGTTGTTGAAATGTTCTAGATGGTCATGCACATGATAGAAAACACCTGCTCAGGTGTTTCTGTTAGGATGGGTGGAATCTGTTGTGTTGTTGCCTCCGCCTCTGGGCAGACAGTGTTTCCTTCCCGTTCTATCTGCTTGACTCTGGATGGATCGTTGTGAATTGCTGTCAGACTCCCTTGAGCCTCTTGGATTTACTCTGGTGTTTTCTCTGCTCTGAAGATACCATTCAGATTTCACAGCTTCAGTCTGATAACAACAGCATTCTCTTAGGGAGACCTCCCCATTGCTGCCATGTCGGACCTGCTGCAGATTAATGCTGCCTTTCTTTCCTGACAGCCAGTCTGATAACTCTGATAAACAGAGGAGCAAAGTCCTCGATGACAGCTGAAGGTTTGACCTTTGAACCCCTTTCCATTTCATGCATTAGTTCCTTCAGGTCTGGATGGATTAGAAACCATCATGTTGTTGACACCTTGCCTCATGCTGCTGGATGTTTTTAGTTATCCCCTCCCAAAGGACATCTGGAACGAAAAAGAATGGGAATCTTCTGCCACAGCATATTGTTTCCAGACCTGCCAGGCCTGTTTGATCTTCTGCAAACAAATAACTGGATAAAGTCTTTAAAGTTTAGCAAATAGAAGGTTTGAAAAATGTAGTACATCAATGTATATATATATTTTTTTTGCAGAATTGATATATATATATATATATATATATATATATATATATATATATATATATATATATATATATATATATATATATATATATATATATATATATATATATATATATATATATATATATATATATATATATATATAAATATATATATACACACACACACACAAAAAAAATTATAGCATTATTGATGCAAAACTATGAAAGAGAAGTTGGGATCTTTACTGTTTTGCTTTTTGAACCATAGTTGTCTCTGTTTCCGCAATAAGCGAATCAAGAAATCTTGACAGGTTAGAAAATATGAATGAAAATTATTTGTGTTTTGTTTCATGGTGAAATCACTTTAAATCCTTTCAGATCTGTTGTCTATTGGAACAAGTTTTCCTGCTTTATAGGAGCTAATAGGAGCTTTATGGATTTTCTATTCTGCTGGTACTGGGGTTATAATTCAGTTTTTTATTGTTAGTTTGATTATTGTAACTTCCTTAAGTTAACCACATATGTGGTATCAACAGAAACTCACACACAACAAGTTTATCAATCGTTATTTCCTGGTTTTTCTGACTGCATTTAGTGATTGGTTGGAGTTACATAAATGAAACTTGATTCTACCAGCTTTGTGTATATGTGTGTTTATAGTTTTGTGTAATTGCTGTTTTCAGCTACAGTTTATTGTTTCATTGAAATTGGGGAAATTAAATTCCTTATGATCTTATTTATTATGTTTCTAATAGGTTTTCACACTGACCGTATGACATGTTGATTCAATATAAAGTATTCAGTGCATAACACTGTAAACCTGTGGTCCTCTAAAGATAATTAAACACACCATCATTTCTGTCTCTACCTACATTTTTGGGGGGATCTAGAGTTTTCTAGAGCTTTTACAGGTTGCTGCTGGAATCCTCCTCCACCCCTTCATGACCACATCATGGAGTCGGTGGAGGTTAGAGGCCGTCTGCTCCTCCACCTACCATTTGAGGACATCCAACAGATGCTCAACAGGGTTTAGATCTTGAGACATATTGTGCCAGTCAAGCATTTTTATCTGCAGTTTCTTTAGCAAGGCATTGGTTGTCTTTAGAAAACGCTGGTACTGGTTGAACTGCAATGGACACCGATTTGTAGCTTAATCTGACTGGACCCTGTCCTCTTAAACATCTGAACGATCTTAGCAACTGTTCAACAGCTCAGTTTCAGGTTGTTGGCAGTCTTCTTACAGTCTCGGCTAGTGGAAAACAAACATTTTTCCCTTTGGGATGTACCCACTTTTGTTGGCTTTGGCTTAGACATTGATGGATTAAATTAGACATCTACTCTACACCAATATACAAGCTGGATGAGGACTTGTTAATATTGTGTCAGAGTGTCAAATATTCAGTGTTAAAATATGAAACGATATATGGTGTTCACAAACATGAGAGATGTGTACACATTACGGTGATATTCTCGTGATCTCTAAAAGCCCAAATCTTGCAAGCCATTTTAACTGAAAAGCGGAAGTCGTCCATTCTCCCTTCTCCCCCTCTTTTTATGATTAATTAAGGGGAATTGCACCAATCCACTATATTCCTTATTTGTTTTTTTAGAATAAAGCTACATGAAGAGGTTTAGCAAGAATGACTCTGTTTCAAGTCTTGGCATGGAGGTAGACACTCCTACCTGTTCTTGTGTTTAGCTGGCCCCTATGAATTGCCCTTAGGTTTTTGAGTCCTTGCTTACCTGGTTGTGTCTCAGTTTTGTCCTTTGATGGGACCTTAGACAAGTTGCTAGAAATGATGAGAGGCCAGTTGAGGTCTGTTTTTTCGGGCTAACCGCTTTTCTCCTCCACTCTGCAGGTGCGCAGTGTCTGGACCTTGGTAACAGACTCATGTGCCGGTGTCGGCCCGGCTTCACCGGTGCTCGTTGCGAGACCAACATCGATGACTGTGCAAGCAACCCCTGCCGCAATGCTGGCACATGCGTGGATGGCATCAACGACTTCACCTGTAGGTGCACTCTGGGCTTCTCGGGCAAGGACTGCTCTGTGCGCACGAGTCCATGCGACGATTTCCCCTGCAGCAATGGGGGCACCTGCTACGCCCACTTCACCGGACCCCTATGCAGGTGTCCTTTAGACTTCATGGGTGAACGCTGTGAGTACTTTCTCAGCTTTCCCACTCAAAGACCCCCTAAAGGCGAAGACTCCAATCCCGCACTGATTGCAGCCATCGCCTTTGGTCTGGTGACTCTGATGCTGCTTATGTGTGCTGGTGTCCACATCCTGCGTCAACTCCACCGTAGCAGGAAGCTAGCAGCCATCTCCAGGTCTGTCAAGAACGACCTTGAGACTGTGAACAACCGCAACACTGTGATCGGTGGGGGTGGGCCCAACAATGGGTGTTTAGTGGGAACTCAATTTTGCAGCTTGAAGGAGAAGGAGGCCTTTCTTCTCCCTGGAGGTCCATATAAAGTGTCCAACAAGGATGCAGCGCTGGCAGAGAAGGGCAGTGACAACGTGTCCATGTATAAAAACAAAATGGCCGACTGTAACCTTGCCAAAGAAGAGCACCGCCTGGAGAAGAACAAGTTTGACCCGTAAGGCTTTGACAGTGTGTTGGTTTGATGGTTATCTTTGTGTTTCCTGTTCTCTCTCAGCTCACTGTTTGTCTTCTGTGAAGGCAAGTAGAAGCATGTTTGTTTCCCTTTGAGTGAAGTATTTCTTCAAGCTTGTTTCTCAAAAGGTGTCAATGCTGCCACTGCTGAACCTAGCCTCTGTTTCTCCCACAACAGTCAGAAACACGACTCCTCCATCATCATCCCACCTCTCAGTTTTGCAAAGGACGGTCTCTATCATCCAGTATTCCTCATCCCTGAGCCTGTGGAGCAGCATGTGTTTGCCACAGAGGTGAGGCACAAAACCAGGAGTTTTATCATGCATTCAGTGGCCAGTCACTCCCAGCTCCCTAATAGAAGCCTCCCAGTTCAGGTGATGGGAGTAATGGGAAATAGCTGGTTCAGAGCAAGTTCAAACCCCACACTGCAAAAAAAATGGAAATCTAAATGAGTCATTTTTGATTTAATTAAGTGCATTTTTTCTTGAATTGAGGAGATAAGTGACATAGTTTGCCAATTTAATATAAGAAAAAAAATGCTTTGTCTTATTTCAAGTGCATATTATCTAATTATCTTTTTTAGGCGGAAAATACTAATTATATCAGCTAAAATTAAGGGTAAATACACTTAATTTAAGAATTGTTAAAACTTATATCTAGATGTTTTTTGCAGTGCAAAGCTCGGTTCCTTATCTTAGTTAGATTACCTCACACTACAAAAATGAATTTCCTAACCAAGTGAAACTGACTTGAATTAAGAATATTGTTCTAAGAAGTTCAGATTTTAGATGTTTTAAGACCCTTTCTTATTAAGATTATTTAACTTATTTTAAGTTATTCTTTGTAGAGCACTCTTTCATAGATATTAAAACGTATCTTAAGTAGATTTGACACAAAATCAAGGTATCTGCATGCATTATATCATGCATGCAGATAAAAAAACCAATGATTAGTAAGGCATTTTGTCTTGCTTTAAGTTTTTAGTCTTAAGGTGTGATCTTCTAGCATTACAACATGTGCAGGTTTCTACCAACATGGCTGCCATTGTCAATCTACTCTTAGCTCTTTAAGGACAAAGTGCAGAACAAAACCTGGCTCCAAAATAAAAACCACACAGATTTCAAAGTGTCGATCATTTCAGTAGCTGATCTTTTATATTGAGTGAAATCGTTCACGTTAGAAGTTTAACAACCTACCACCACAGGTAGTTGTGCTGCTAAGTACTTGCATCACAGGAAAATTTGGTTCATTTTTTTTTTTTTTTTTTTTTACACTATAGAAAAAACGTAACAGAATTGTTTATTATTAAATTTTAATATTGAAGCAAGTAAGGTCTTCTTCAACTAATCCATTTCAATGCATTGATTTTTTAAAAGCATGAAAAACAAACCAAGTGGACAGATCTCCAGCAGATTAGAGAAATGGATCAAGTAAAAAGTGCAGAAATATGGTCATGTTAAAGTTAGTTCAGTATGTTCACAGCTCGGGCAGATGTCAGCTGGTTTCGCTACTGTTTGCCGGATGTTTGCAGTCAGACGGTTCAAAGAAAGTGAGGGTCTCCTATAATGTTCAGAGTATTTGTTCCTGCAGAGATCCTGGAAAGAGGGAAGGGAATCTCCAGCAACCTTTTCAGCTCCTCTCACCATCATCCGCAGGGCTGAAAGGAAGCAGGCATCAAATTGTCTCATCTTGCTTTTTAAAATTAAAATACTACGATTCGATGCCTTCTATTGGAGTTGACAAGTGGCACAATTCAATAAATAAATAACTTATTAAATAATTATTTAAATGTTTTATTTTTATTTATTAAAACTGGAGGTAAATACAGAATGCATTTCATAAATATATAATTAATTATATTGGCCTTAGTTAAATATATAGATTTAACAGATATAGTGAATATAATTACTTTGTGATTTGATAAATTATTTCATGTTCTCAGGCTGAGGCACACCATGAATTGATTCAAGCTGTGACAGTTTACGTTAATCCGTGGTGTGCTTCATTAGTTTATTAAATCATCAAATAATTACATTTACTTCATAAAATAAAGTAACTGTATTTAACCGAGGTCCATAGGATTACTTTTTTATTTTTTGAATCAATTCTGTATTTATGTCCAGTTTTATAATAGTAATGATTTATAAAAACATTTTTTCATAAGGTATTTAACTATTAAATTGTGGCACTCGTCACCTTCCATAGACTTCAGGTGAAATCTTGAACTCTGAACCCTCATTCCCACATATATTCAAGGCCTTGGAAATCCTGTTCATTTAGATGGCATACTTTGGATGCATGTGGAAAGCAGATGTTGTCTTCTTCTGGCCCCTGCATTAGTGTTGGTCCCTTCCAACTTTAATTATATTCCAATTTGTCTGCATTAAAGCCTTCTAGGTATTTAAAGGGAATAAAGTTGTACTTTGTTTTTTAACCTGAATGTGTTGTTTCAGCTGAGAGCAATCATGTTACCTTTTAAACTCCAAACTCTTAGTCCATAAAAACAATACTCCTACGAGCCACAAGCAGTGACAAGTTTTGTTGAACCTCCCTGCTGCAAAATCTGCAGCATGAACTTTAATTTATTAAATGAAAGTTTGCAAATTTGCAAACCGGGAGAAAAATTTGTCAGAATGCAGAAGTTTGGAGAGCTAATAAACCAGCAAATTACAGATGCACTTTAGTCAACCTATAATGAGTCACAGACTTTAGGAAAAAAATAAAAAATCCCATCTGGAAAGTGTCTTATATTTGCACATCTTGAGTTTAATTATTAAATAACAAAAAGGTTGATTTTTGTCTCATCCAGTATTAGATACTGGATATTTTCAAATACTTTTTTTTCTAACTTGAGATTTAAAAACCATCTATTTTCATTTTATTATAATGAACTTTCCTTATCACACATTCAAAAAGTAAATCCTTTTTTCATTTCTATTTTCTTGCATTTTCAGTCTTTTCAAAAAGGCTTTTCAAATTGGATTTCTAATTCTGTGATTTTAATTTCTATTTTGACAGCTCCTGGTCCTCGTACTTTGCAACAGAAATGCTCACTCCTTTCTATTTATTTGCCTTAAAGAGTTTAGAGATCTATAATTGTCATAAATATATATTAAAAAGTAAATGTTGTTTTTGTAAGGAATTACAAACAATTCGTTTTAATCATAAAACTGTCTAATGAACAGTTCACGACTTATCAACCAAATTTGGTACTAACCTCCTGTTTTTAAGTGAGGCATAGCTAGAAGGCTTTTTAGTTGTTGGAAATGGCTTTAAATGTCTTCTTACTTACGAAGAAATGGATGAATACAAAAAAGAGTATGTTGGTCTAGTATGTTCATTAAAATGAACAAATACGACCTTTAGTGACTATATTCATACTTTGAGCCTTTACAAAATGACATTGTTTTGTTGCTTTTCATATATTACTTTGATCTCGTTTATGAAGAAGTCTTAAAATGAATCTAGAAGTCATTAATGTTACTGGAAAGTATCTCAAGCTCATGAGAACATTTTTTTTTTTCTTTTAACATCCCTTTAAGGGCAAAAAGCAACAATTGTTGCCCTTTTATCATGTTTGTAATGAGTTTCCACTGATAAACCGAGCCAACACAAGAGACAAGGTGTCCATAAAGGTTAGATAAAGAGCTTCTAATGTGGGTATACTATATTGATTTTATGCTGTTTAAGGCAGATTAAGAGTGATGAATAATAAAATTGACAGCGGGTTAATTTGCTGCTAAGGTTCAAGGTTCGGCGTCACATTATTGATTTTAGATTTTTCATACAAACACCTTAACCAAAACCCTTCAAATAGATATAATATGTGTGTGTTTATATCTATGTATATGTATTTGTTACTGAGTGGGGACAATTTTCTGAGTGTTTAGGACTAAGATGGGAAGTGAGTTTAGGTTAGGTTTAGGGTTAGGAATGTGTTAGTAATGGTTAGGCCATAGAAGTAAATGCAATATGAATGGAGGTTAATGAAAAGTCCCCACAAGGATAGTGTGACACAACCTGTGTGTTTGTGTGGAGGATCAGTATGCTGGGCTGGTTTATAGCATGTCTTTATCTAACAGACCTTTTATAGGTGGTTAAAACAGCATGATTATGTTATCGAAGTCTTTAGACATTGCAGGTAAGTCTTTAACTTTCACTTTTTAGTTCCAAAGATGCCCGCCTCTTTTTTCCTTCCTGGATCCTTACGTGCAATAGATGGCTGGCCACGATGTGCTCGCAGTGACTCTGTGTTTCTTTTCCACTTCACCAGTATCCACATTTTTTTTCCTAAATGGACACTACCCTAGGAGTTAGTTTGGATAAAGGACTTTGTGTGGGTGGATTTATCAAGGATAAGGAATTGTCTAAAAAAGTAAATATAGATATATGCTCATTTGACTTTGGATGCTGCTGATTTGACAATAATCAGCATACTTATTATTGTTTTATAACTGCAATTACCAATTGATTGGGAGTTTGTGACTCAAACCTGACAGGCAGTTAACCTGAGCTTTGGTGCCACAATAACAGAAGGTCTGCTTCAAAGTTCACTTTGGTTCTGTAATGTTCTTTGAAAGCATAAACCTTTCAAACATCCCTGGTATACAATCAGGCCCATAACACTACCCATCCATACTAGTAATATCATATGTGTGTCATGAAATCTGCACAACTTCTTTGGTTATATCGTGGCTTTTTAGACATTATTCCAAAACCCCAGGAAGCTAATCTACTCCTGACCCAATGGTCCACAGTCTAAAAAGCTTTAAACTGACAATATAGCATGAAAACCTTCCCTATTTCACCACATTTATAGGAAATGACCTGAATCTAACAGAAATCTTTCCTATGGGGTCATTTTGACTAATATGAATAACTCTAAATATGCTAATATATCCTAATACCCATAACGGGATAAATGAGAGCCTCTGTCCAGTTATTTAAACTAGGACTTCACAGTAAACATACACAGTAAATTCACAGTAAATATGGAGTGTTGAAGTATATTGACTCTTTTAGAGTTATTACAACTACAATTAGAGTAAGATAAACACTATGTAAAGACTTAATTTAACACTAATTCAGAGTTGGACATAACCCACTCGGATTGGTGTTAAATTGAACTCTTAAAGTGTTACTTTAACACTGCAAAATTTATTGTGTAGCATTGTTATTTTTATCATCTTCCACAACATTTGTAACAGTAAACTTGTGTAAAATGAACAACTTTGCCACCTGTTATTTATTTGTAGTGAAAATGTTAGCAAATAAATGAAATAATTCGAGCTCAGAAAAAGCTTTGGTTCTTGTAGATTCAATTTGGCTTCCTAATGTTTGAGATCGCTGCGTCGTTTAGAAGACCAAACTGTCTTCACATTAAAAGCATGTAGATTTAGGCTTGAGATGAAGACTTTGGATCTAGTTTTTTTTTCTTTTTTTTATTCTATATGGTGTATGCAAAGCTTTAGTTGCCAGGAAAGATATATAAAATAATTAAATAAACTTGTAAACACAGCTCCTGTTTTTTAGCTGTTATAGTATGTTGCATCCAATTGTTTTACACGGAGGAAAAGTTTTTAAATACGTATTATGTTATTATGGTAATAACAAAGGTTATTACCAAATGGTAATAACTTTTGTGTGTTGTTTGTATTTGTCATAATGGGAACATACAAATTATCCCCAAAAAGAGTTTCCTGCTGTTGTAAATCTGGTCTATTTCTTTTCCTTGGGTCAGGTTTCAGAGGAGTCCTGTAAGTTTTAGCTCTTTTTTTTTTTTTACTTTTTATTTTTTAAACAAAAAAAAAAAATTTTTAAAGCATTTATAATTTTTTTGTTGGCACAGGTTGTGTTCCAGAAACCCAAAATAATGTTTGAATTTAGAATAAATGAGAATCAAGAAGTAATCCTATACGCTGATGACTAACTGCTGTTTCTGTGTCTTGTTCTCAGGTATAACTTTGAGTTTTCAGACCACCAGCGGAGGGGCTTTCACGCTGGAGGGCCTGAAACTGTTCTGTCACGGACAGAAAAACCAGAGGATCTATTCTACACAAAAGTTTCTATTTAATATTTATTGCTGCTACTCAATGGAAACAAACAAACACCACAAAGACTGTTATTTTGCCTCGATAGTGACAATGTTCGGATGACAATGAGAGAGAAGAAGAAAAGCTGAATGTTCCGCGTCATTTGCACTATTTATCTTTTTTTTTAATATATATATACTTTATAAATCCTAATTTAACTTTCTTCACTTTCTTGAGAATGAACGAAGAGATGAATTGTTCTTCGATCTGAAAAGTCCTGTTTGACAAGAACAATCAATCAATCACTTCACCTGCCTGATGTTGCAGGAACTGAAACTGTGTTGGAACAATCGGGACTTTATAACAAGTCCCAAATCTATATATATATGTTATTTTCAGAAGACTTCACTTTGTTCCTATCTTCTGGATTCGGTTATCTTGCATTGGAAACATTGAGCTCATAATCCGCGTCCAAACAGAGGTGCCTTGTTAAGAAAAGCAGCTAAAGGATGTCAAATAGTGGAATTAAACTGGATCTGACTGACTTCTATCAGGTCGGTCTTTTCTTTCCTGCCTGCTAATCCCATCGAGACATGAAAGCTTCGACCTTGAAATTATTCTGGTCTCCTTCCTGCTACTTTTTCAGCTTATCTAGACTTTATAGTCTGAACTCAAAAAAAATAATCTAAGAATATGTTGACAATGTGATAAAAAGTTCCGTCAAGAATACATTGCTCCGTTTTTCTTCCAGTGGACATTCCAGTTTTTCTAGCTAACTTGCCATTATGCTGCTTTTATATGTTTACCTGCTACAGTAAGAGCATTAGACCGTGAACATGTTTCAGTGCAAACAGCTGTGGGGATTTTATGTCTTCAGTGTGCCAGTTAAGGACTCAACAGGGGTCTTTTTATTATGCCTTTTTAAATACTCCATTTGAAACCAAAAAGATGCCTTTTTAATGTGCAGTCATGTGCTAATTTAAAAAAAAGAAAACAATGCAATGTGTACATATCAACCAGACGACAGTTTTCCTATTTAATTTTTTTGCTGTTGTAAATAATTCTGTATTTAAGAGAATTGTATATGTTCTTGTCAGAATCAAGAAATATATATTTTTCATAAATGAATCTGAGTATATTTTCTTTTTGTGTTTGGCTTCAAAGCAGTATGTTCCTCTTAAGGTCTAAAAATTAACTTAATTTAGCCAAGTGGCATTATAAACAAGAGGATTTTAATTTTTCTGGAACTTCTGGATCAAGATGAATCCCTTCCTCCATCGTTCAATTGACAATATTTTGATAAGAAGCTGGTTTTCTCCCCTTTAGAGGAGTTTTTAGCAGCTTTGTTTCCTTATGGTTCAGGATTTCTTCCTCCATGCATCTGGAGGGAGAAATCCGGGACCAATGCTGAGCATTCTCTCTGATCCTTGTGATGTGATCAATGTGAGCACCTCTAAGCTTTTGGATAAAACAGGTCTATCTGGTTATTTTAGTATTAATGTCCAGGTTTTTACAAGTTCCATAAAGTTCTCTCAGCAGGCTCTACTTTGGTGGATTCCCCAGATTTTCCTTCTTGGCATAGCCTGAATGACTTCAAACTCAGTCCCCCCTGCTTATTATCACATGTCTCTGGTTTTGTCCCGCAGCTCATACCAGATGTGGTCAAAATGTGAGATTTTATAGGATGAGGGGCAAAGGGTTGAATTGCTGACCAGTTCTCTCGATGACATCTTTCCACCTGCTGACTCACAGGTGTGCTTCACTGGCCTCTGGTTCTCAGGTGGTTCCAGAACCAGTGGCGGCTGATCAATAGAGGTTGCTAGGGCGCCGCCCCACCAACCCAATGACCTTGATTAAAGGTATAGAGCAGGGGTCACGGATTAGCAAACCGTGGTCTGGATCCGGACCCGCCTGCTTGCTAATCCAGACCCAACCTGATTTAAAACATTTATAGATTATCACATGTTGTCCGGCGCAGTGTCTAATTTCACTTGCGCCGCTTCTCCTGTTTGTACAGTAAAGCCCTCCGGCACCAGGCTGCACGTGATGCCAATTAGCCAATGAGCTGCTGTCAGTCTGGGTTGCTGCTGCTCGCTAGTTCTAGACACAGCAGGCAAACCTGTGGCAAGCCGGGCGATGGGAAAGAAGGAGAAGATGATGAGAAAAAGAAAGCAGAGAAAGTGGACTGCTGGAAGAACTGCGGGGAACTGGTGACAGAAAAGTGAAATGGTGCATTGGTCCCGGATTTAGAGTATGTTTGGCTCAACCTGCTGCTGTGAAGCAGGATTCTCCACCATAAATAGAATCAAAAATAAATATGGATCCAGACTCAAAATGAGCTCCTTGATATGTGCTTTAGAATGGCTTTGTCTCCATTCAAACCAGGTTTAAAGCCTTGCAGGGCAGCATAAAGCCCACTGCTCTTATTAAGCCATAAGAAATAAATAAATAAAATAAATGCTCAGTTCAGGTGTTTTATAAAATATGTGAATCAGGAAATTGTCTATATACCAAACTGAACGATTGTTGTTCTCTACTTAAAAAACACTTTAGATTTTAAAATGGAAAAATGTTCTGTTTTTGAAAATATTTTTTTATTTAAAAAGTCAACGTATAACATGGATGCATAAAAACCTCATTTTATTTCAGTGCTAAATTCTGTTTAACATAACGGAGTATAATTAAAATGTCTCCGGACCTTTACTGGTTGCTGATTTTTAATTGTTGAACCCTGGTTTAGAGGATGATCTTTTATTTCTGGGTGGATCGTCTGAATAAGTGGTCCTCCTAATTGTTCCTCATTGTGGTGATATGTTCACGTGAGGCCGTGCTACAGGCTCCCTCTATTAGCTATCTATTTCTGAGCATGCGCACTTTCAGCCCCATATGTGTGGTGAGCTACGGTTTCAGTCATTGAAGCTCACCTTTCTCAACGTGGTTCTTTGAAAATGGCCGAGGGTCGTGAGAGAAAAAGTGTCAACAAAGTGTATGTGAAGAAAAGAAAGGCCTCAGAAGAGGCAGATATATCCCAGAATGCTTTGCGTGGAGAGTTCTCCTAAAGCATTATGGGCTATGTGCTATAACAGCGGCCATAGGCTGTAGCTACCCGACAGACACCACGCAGTGGAGGAGTTATGTGACCAATGTGGTAAAAAGCAGCAATCATTTGTCCAAACGGTCAGTTAACTAAAAAATAAAATGATAAAATTAAGATATTTTGAAAAATAATAATATATTTTTATAGATGTGCAAGATAAATATTTATTCTTTAATAAAGAGTAAAGCTGTTTTGTTAATTGTCGGATTGATGACGTATATCCGCGCTGGGGCGCAAAAATCTTTGGCCCTTGACTCTCGTTAAAAGTCGTAAATGTACAGTAGATTCTCTGCAATGCAAAAGGATAGGAGATCTTGAGGCACAGCTCTCCAGCACCCAGACAGCCACTGACGTCACAGCCGTAGTGCGGCTGATTGACAGGTGGAGTTGTAGCCTGACGTAGTCCGACTCAATTCTAGTCAGAATATGAGTCTGATACTGCTCCATAGAGCTGTGATTATGTGGCGTGTTTCGAACGAACCAGGAAAAAAAATGCCTCTGCACTCAATTGGATAGACCTACAACCAATAAGAGCAACGGAGTGCGTGACGTATGTTAAGCGAGGCATAGTTGTTGTCCACAAAAATCAAAGCGTGCAGTTGCACGCCTATAATAAGAAGATGAGACTTGATCACGTTTCTCTGTTCCTCTTTTAAAATTAAATTGCCGTCGATATCTTCTAGAACAGACCTAATAGCAGAATCTACTCACCTAAACTCTCCAGCGGCAGCCATTATTGTTGTCACCCAAGCGCGCATTGGTCACGTGGTTGATTACGTTACTGTTGGTCATCTGTCCATCATCGTATAAAGCCCGCCCTGACAATTTGATTGGATCGCCTGACAGTGGGCGATAATACTCGCACTAATATGGAGCAGAGCCAGACCGAACTTCCCCGACCTCAAACTTTGTGGGCGGGACTAAGTTCGGAATGGCACCCAGGCTAGTGGAGTTGTGGAAGTCGGAGACAATTGAAGAGAGCGAAATGGCACAAGAAGAATGTTATTAAATGAAGTTCCTTAAAACAAAATTACTGAGAGAAGCTGGAGGTGAAAGCGCTTGGACCTGATCAGCCGAACATAAAACTCTGTGAACATGTAAAGTTAATACAACTATTCCTTGTTTGTGCACATTGATTATGTTTTTATTAAAATTCTTTTGCTTAAATGCCATTTGAATGCTTATAATATTAAGTGTGTCTATATTATGTGTTGTCTTCTCAAATTTACAGGGCCCCCTGCCTGTTTTTGGCGTTGGCCCTAAATTTCCTAAATCCACCCCTGCAGATAGAGACGTGTATGCACTGACTGTGGCCATTTTGGAGGGAAGCCCACACTGCCGGCAGGGCTTTAAGCTACAACAAGGGTGACCCCAGTGCCTGATTAATATAACATTTCTGATGTCCATAACAACACACACACATAAAAAAAAAAATCACCAACTACCCGCCCGCACTAAAAAAATATCCGCCCGACCCCACGTACCCGTTTATTTTTATATATGTATTTTTCACCCGCAAAAGAGCATTTTAGCGGGTGACCCGTCGGGGACCCGCGGGTACCCGACCCGTTGCAGGACTCTAGCGCCAGGCACAACCGAACCGCGCTAAACTGGTACAGGTTTATCAGTAGGACTCAGCATGGTTCAATTCTGTTTCGGTTCTCAGATAACAAAGAGCACATGAGCAGACTGCATCATCTCCTTACAGCCAGCCTCCGTAATTATATAATTTCAGACATTCGTAAAAATACCAGCTTCCCTACTGTGCCACACGATTTCCAGTGATGATTCTGCTTAGCAGTGTGATGAGTTTTTGGCGAGTTTCAAAAACTGCAAAATATTTTGTATTTTGTCCCTAATATTTCAGGCAGGGTCAAAGCTACAATGGTGCTGACACCAGAACACCATTCTATGACATCTTACCTTTACAGAGGTACCAAAAGTTTCTTCTCAAATCTAATAGCTGTGAGGCTATAAGTGATTTACTTTTGTGTGTTTTTGTCAGGCAGAAATTTATTTATACCCCCTGAGGGTGTAAGAGGTTAAAATAAAAAAAAGCATTTCTGAAAATGCTTTTTCATTTGAAATATGGTAACGATTTGCTTCCATAAGAAAACGCTGCACAACGAGAAGAGGTGACCGGACGCAGAGAAGAGGTGACAGCCCCTGAGGAAGATTGTGGAGAACGGCCGATTCCAGACCTTGGAGGACCTGCGGAAGCAGTGGACTGAGTCTGGAGTAGAATCACCCAGAGCCACCGTGCACAGGCATGTGCAGGAAATGGGCTTCAGGTGCCGCATTCCCCAGGTCAAGCCACTTTTGAACCAGAAACAGCAGCAGAGGCGCCTGACCTGGGCTACAGAGAAGCAGCACTGGACTGTTGCTAAGTTTTGCACGTCATTTGGAAATCAAGGTGCCAGAGTCTGGAGGAAGACTGGGGAGAAGGAAATGCCAGAAGTCCAGTGTCAAGTTCCCACAGTCAGTGATGGTCTGGGGCGACATGTCAGCTGCTGGTGTTGGTCCACTGTGTTTTATTAAGGGCAGGGTCAATGCAGCTATCAGGAGATTTTGGAGCATTTCATGCTTCCATCTGCTGAAAAGCTTTATGGAAATGAAGATTTCATTTTTCAGCACAACCTGGCACCTGATCACAGTGCCAAAAACACTGGTAAATGGTTACTGACCATATTATTACTGTGATCAAATGGCCTGCCAACTCTCCTGACCTGAACCACATAGAGAATCTGTGGAATATTGTGAAGAGAAAGTTGAGAGACGAAAGACGCTGTGGATGAGCTAAAGGCCGCTATGGAAGCATCCTGGGCCTCCATAACACCTCAGCAGTGTCACAGGCTGATTGCCTCCATGCCAGCAG